AATGAGCGCATGAATGAAATATGCACAGGCTCAGCGCTTATTTTGTGCCAGGACTGATCCCCGGCACCTCTAGCCTTGGCAGTTCATAGCCCCGGCACCTCTGGGCTTGCTGCTTCAGTTATGAATGTAAAAAAATTGCTTGAGCCCCAGCATCTCTTTCATTACAAATTAAGCACTGCACAGGCTGCTCTTTTCAAATGGAGAAATAAATGATTTTTCCAATGTGAAGAATGGGATGGTGAACTCTACAGATAGTGTTGTACATGCAAGCAGCAATGACAGGCCTGAGTAAACACCATGGACCAAATTCAGATGCAATGTGAATAGGTCAGACTCCATTTAACTCCATTTACACGCAGTCTGAATTAGGCCTGATATATCTTTTTGGTTATTGCTGCTACAGAACTTATATAATATTTTGTTTTAGTTAATGTGTTCTGAACAGCATCCATAGAAATATCCTTTTTCTTCCCTTCATTGTAACAACATGATTCAATGGAAAATTACTCATGAGATAAACATAATACAGTGGACTCCCCAATATAAATTTGAGACGACTTGAACAACTTTCAGTACTGCTCAGGGTGGAACACAAGCAGGGTGACAGAAGAGAGAACACTAGATCCTACTGTTACTGTAACCAGAGATGCTTACAGTATGTCATTGCCATGAAAAGGGAGGGGTTGGGACAGAATGAATTCTTTGCTCTAAAATGATCATCATCACCTATCCTTTTCTAAGATGGCACGGGACAGAAGCCCCCCTTCCTGAGAAGAATGGGACAGTTTATGACAATACATGCCCCTCTCCAACCAAGTGTAGTTAAGGAATTACATGTCCACATTTGTTTGGTTGCCCTCTCTTTCTATCCTCAATGAAAGTTCTATAACTAAGAACAAGAAACAATGTTTATATTGCAGGGGGCACTGGTTGGGTTAAATCAGGAGTCTCCTTGTACAGGAGTACTAGACTGGGGACGACGGTGTGGTGCCCTGCCTCCAGTATACCAACACAAAGGGCACACACAATCTATCTCCCAGTGCTGGGGAAGGTGGCTGTTTTATGCTGCAGGCAGTGCTGAGCATTACTGCAGCAGGGGCATTACTCAGCACGGGAGGGGCTATGCCTCATATCCTCACATGCTAGGATGACTGTGCTAAGGGGAGACCTTGCTACAGCTTTTTAAAGCTGTAGCAAGATTTGCTATGCACCAGTGTTCCACACAGCACTCGAGGCATTATACCTTTCATAACAGGCTCCCTCTTTGCTCACCATAAAATGTGCTGACAATGCTCATAACTTCAGTGAGAGTCTCAAAATATTTGGTGTTTGCATTTTTCTTAAAGCCCCAGTTCCCAGAATTATGGAATTAAGGGAGAATCTCAGTTTTCATATAAAAACAAACAAAGTAAAAGGAATTTTCTGTCCCTCACAGCTGCAGAGAAAAGCTTGAAAGTGTGAACACTCAAAAACCAGAGGGCAAAAGAAATGACTTGGCATGATTTTAAGTCAATCTCATGATTTTTCATGGCCTAACTTATGAATTTGAAATGCTTGAGATGACAATATTATAACTATCAACTGTGGTTATCTGTAATTATTTGTTCCACACAGTTCTGGTATTTTTAATAGATCAGAAAGTAAAGACTTAGTCTGTGGCGGGGAGAAGGTGGTCCTTTATTTCAGTTTAGCAGGCTTGTTTTTGCCATGTAAGGAGCTTGCTGTAGGAAATAATTCAACCTCACTCCTCTGCCATGCTTCAAAATCCAATGGAAGAAAGGAGGCATCCGGACTCCCAGCAGTTAGGGTATAGAGGGAAGGGGCCAAGTTCCAGCAGGCAGGAGAAAAAGAAAGCAACAACTGCTTATGAAAAGTTGTCAGCTGTGATGCAGTGACCCTACTATATACCCAGGCTCTACTAAAGGTATGTCTTCACTGAAAAGTGATGGTGTGACTGAAGCACTGGTAGGAATAATCCTGTTAGGTTTAATCTAGCTAGAAAGGGTAATAATAGTATTGTAGACATGATGGCATGGGCTTGAACTCAGGCTAGTTGCCTGAGTAAAAGCCTGCCAGGGACCCTGGATACATCTACACTACAGGGGGGAGTCGATTTAAGATACGCAAATTCAGCTACGTGAATAGCGTAGCTGAATTCGACGTATCGCAGCCGACTTACCTGCGGCAAAATCGACCTCCGTGGCTTCCCGTCGACGGCACTTACTCCCGCCTCCGCTGGTGGAGTAAGAGCGTCGATTCGGGGATCGATTGTCGCGTCCCGATGGGACGCGATAAATCGATCCCCGAGAGGTCGATTTCTACCCGCCGATTCAGGCGGGTAGTGTAGACCTAGCCTTATTTGGGTTGCTAGTGATGGACTGTGCCATAACACCTTCACTACTATTGTTACCTGTGCTAGCTAAATTAAAGCAAGTATGGGTATGTCTACCCTTGCTGCAATCACACCTTCACTTGCAGTGAAGACAAAGGCTAAAGACTGGTCTACACTTAAAACTTAGGTTGACAGAGCTACAGCATTCAGGAGTATGAAAGAACAACACCCCTGGGAGACTACACTAGTCCTATGGCCACCAGTGACACAAGAGCTCTCTAGCCTAGGAAAAAAGGTGCCTCTTTAAATCAAGTCAGGTACCTCGAGGTACCTAACCCCATTTGACCCACCACTTAACTAGATGCAGTTTAAGGTCTTGTCTAGACTAGAATTTCAGGTGTGACGTTAGCACATGCCAGCTGACCTGTGTTAACTAACAGGCTTTAAAAGTCTAGTGTAAAGAAAGCATACTGCCTTACTGTGCTAAATGGGTTGAGCCTAGTGGGGTTAAAGGCACATGTTAAAGGCAATGTGCCTTGTCTACACTAGATTTAACTAAGGGCTAGTGTACCCTGGCAATGCTAAAGTGCTGCCGCAGCAGCGCTTTAACATGGCTTGTGTGGTCACAGCAGAGCTCTCTCCCAGCGCTCTAAAAAAAAAAAAACCACCTCCACAAGGGGCGCAGTTCCCAGTGCTGGAGCACTGTCTACACTGGTGCTTTACAGCACTGAAACTTGCTGCGCTCAGGGGGGTGTTTTTTTACACCCCTGAGCGAGAAAGTTGCAGCGCTGTAAATTGCCAGTGTAGACAAGCCCTAAAATTTGCTACCATCGTATCTTCAAATTCTAATCCAGACAAAGCCTAACGCCTTTATAATCAGGTTAGCATCAACCCCTCCAGTTAACATGATGGTAAGGGTGTTAAACTGCATCTAGACTAGGTGTTAAGCAGTGTTTCAGATGGGGTTAATTACCTCCAGGTACATGCAAAATCAATTTAGTTATTTTGGGGCAGATTTGTGTGTGGACACTCTTATTTTGAAATAAAAGTGGTTTGAGTTTAGTCACCTTCATTCTGAAATAACAGTATCCACACAAAGGCATGCACCAAAATGACTAAATTGGTTTGAATTCACACCTTTTATCATTTCAGTGCAAATCTGCATGTGGACCAAGACTCACCCGATTAAACAAACAACAAAAAATGCCTCAATTTTCCTGCCAAGTCTGGAGAGAACCACAGAATCAACCTCTCGCCCATGATCAACTTGAGGACTCAGAAAACAGCTCTTGGATGTTTGAGAGCATCTCTTTTGTCTAACAAGTTACTAGCTGGCATCCTATTGGCAGCAGTGGCTGTTTCTTAACCTTCCTATACCTGTTGGATGACACACTGACTTGTCCACATTAGAGAGTTTACAGCAGCATAGCTGTACAGATGCAGCTGCACCACTATAAGATCTCTTTTGTAGCCACTCTATGCCACCAGGAGAGATCTCTCCCGTTGACATAAACCACCCCCAATGGGCGACAGTAGCTATGTTGGCAGGAGAAGCTCTTCTGCTGACACAGCACTGTGTTCACTACCACTTATTCTGGCAAAACTCATGTTGCTCAAGGGGGTGTTTTTTTCACACCCCTGAGCAACGTAAGTTTTGCTGACATAAGTGGTAGTGTAGACATGGTCTTACAGGTCTCCCATATTTCTCTATTCTTGGATTAAGGAGACCCTTACAGTAGGCTTTCTGCTTGGCAGCTGGGAGCATGACAGCAGTACCCAATTCCCTTCTGACCCTTACAATAAATTACTGCTAAGTCCACCACCTCCTTGGGGTGGACTTGAAGGAGGACAGCTAGAAATGTAGATATACGCCAAACAGAACTTCCTAGTACTTGGGAAGAGCTGAGAGGATTCTGTTATTTGAAGTCCACTATAGCTCTCACTCTTCAAATCTGATTTTTCCATGATTTTTCTCTTTGATACTACACCAGTGGGTGCTCTAGAAAAACCTAAGATAGATTTCCCAATGAGACCCCATGATGTGACGTGGACTGTTTCGTCTTACCATGCTCATTCTCATGCATAGACATTGGGTTGTCATATAGGCAAGTTACCATCTGTGTGCGTTTCAACAGAAAGGTTTGTCCTGCAACAAAACCTTGGGCTGAGTTTCAAAAGTCTAAACAATTTTAGCTGGTTTTCCACATACACCTATATGCCCTCCCCATAGAAAACTACCCCATCAGCTTGCCTAAACATCTGGGGCAGCTTGCAGGCCTGCTAAATGCAGGACTCCACATCAATTAAAATGGCTAATCATGATCCCAACAAGGTGGCTTGCGATAATTGTCTAGCTCCACTGGGCCAACTGGAATGTCTCAACAGATGATCTTTTGAGAGCATTCCTTGCTGAAGTGCCAGAAACTCAATCTTAAAATGCAGGTTATTTTAGGGCCACAGACAGGCTACTTCTTTGAGTATAAAAAGTGACTGAATAGTGTCGACTTTTTTTTCTTAGCTGGTCTAGGACTGGAGGGCTGTGAGCATCACCAAAAAGTCAACTGACAAAATGTGAATTCAATTATATCAACGATAAACACAGTAGAAATGTACAAAACTCCAGTTCATTGATCTGGAGTTTTATTCTTGTTGGGTTTTCTGTACTTACTGGTGGACACTGTGCAAGTTTATCAGCTGCCACCAACTGAACATTTAAGTGTTTACTTTGTGACTTTCCTCTGGATTTAATCAGTCGCTGCAAAACCTGAGAGAGGAAAAGAGGAAAACATGAGTATAAGAGTCAAACATCCCCAGATACAAGAGATCCAAATGCCAATGACAGGATTAACCAATGTAATAAGCTCTTATTTGTATTACATTTAATATAATGGACCAAATTTTGTCATCATACAGATGCAAATTCTTCAATTTATATCACTGGGATTTGTGCATGTTTATCTCAGCATGGGATTCGACCCATAGCATATTTTCCAAATGCAGTTTAAACTGTGATTTTGCTTTGTTCTGGTTCTAAGCACAAGGTTATTGTCAACAAATATAATTTTCTAAAGGACTGTTTTCCAATGCTCCCTGAAAATTATGCAGTTGCACTAGTTTGATTATAGCATAACAGTAATAGTATATTATGCTGTGCAATACTGATATTATGGTGACAGTCTGCTCAGAAGTATATTTTGATAAAGAAGGTTTTTTAACACCCACAGTTCATATTACCTCATTTTTTCCTGCAGTATGCTCATTAATAGAATTTAGGGGGTGGGAGAAATTAGGAATTCTAAATTATTTATCTATAAACTATAAAAGAAAATTATAGTATCAAACACCCTGCTCACAAGCCTTTGGGAGAAAGACTTAAAAAAAAAAAGTGTGCCCTTGACCTTTGTGCTCTTGATCCCCCCCTTCCCCCACTCACTTGCCAGATAACTTTCCATTCAATAGAATGGGTGTAGCTAGTACAACCAGCACCACCTCAGGAAAATTCAATAGCAGTCAGCAGGGAATATGCAAATTATGTTTACTGAGTTTACATTAAGAACTTTATATTATTATAAGTGCACTAAGGGGTGCTGTTAAAACTTAAATTATACTGTTTTCTTATAGAATGTGAGCCAGATCCCCAACTGACATAATCACCGTACCTCCATTTGCACCACGTGAAGATTCGGACTTTTAGCTTTAGAAAACATGTAGGTTTTCTAGAAAAGTGAGTGAAGGATCTGGAAGAAGTTATTCACCCCAAAGTCTATGGTACTGAAGTATAATGCTAGGTAATAGAAGCCATCCTTAACTGCCAGTAGTTAAAGTAACGACAAGCAAATTGTGAAAGAACACAAGTAGTCAGGTATTGACTGCTAAACCACTATTGGGGCTACAGCCTTGTCTATATTAAAACTTTCAGAAGTTTCATTAAGATTGTTTTTTAAATGAAAATTGGTGCAAACCCCTGCGTGGATTCTCTTATATCAATGTCCTCCTTGTTTATATTATTTTAGCTTTATTTAGTTAGTAACTGAATTACGCTAAAATCAATACAAACCAGGTTTAAATCAATTTAAAAACACATCTTCAGTTAAACTGGTGCTATAATATAGACAAGGCCTAAGTGTGCAAAGGTTATTAAGGACCTTAAAGCAGCACTTTAAAAAAATGACTTTTGTGCTCTACATGAAGAACCCAGAGGACATCCCAAAAACCACAACTAGCTAGTTTCCTGGTTGGGAGTCTCAATAGAAGCACCAAGGACTGATCTAATCTCTCACCTCTAGAGGTGGCCCTCCAAGTGAGACTTAAGGTGGAGTGAGGAGAGATGGCACTTGTTCTAAAGATGAATTAAGGGCTTAAATCTTTAGGGCTGTCAATGCAGCATCTTTCATGAACATTAAACTCACTACAATTGTAACTGAAAATAAATATCTATTTTCAAGGTAAATAGTTGCATGAGGATTTTAAACAGAGAAGGATTCCCCCTCAAGGGAGAGGATGAGAGAAAAAAAATAAAAAGGGGACCATATGAGACAGGTTAGTCATGGCATTTAATGCACTACTGGAAAGGGCTCAGATATTACAGGGATGGGCCTGTATAAGAACCTGTATACAACAGCATGGTTTTCTTCTGATATGAGCACAAAGCTCTCACTAGTGTCAACATGTGCATTTTGAGGGGGAAAGAGAACACATCCTATCTCAGAGGACAATGAGCATGTAACATTTTAAAAGTAAAATGCATATATTTTAAAGATGATTGTAATTACCTTTGGAGATGACACTTTAACATGGACAATAATCGGTGCTAAAGATGTCTTAATAAGTTGTGCTGGATGATTGATAGTATCCGCATCTAGGACAACCAGCTGTAAGGATCTTGCCAACTCAAAGATTCTTTCAATTTCACTCTGCACTTCAGCTAAACAACAACAACAACAACAACACCACAACAGGTCATAACTGCTCTACCCCAATGCTGTTTAGAAAAATAAATCACATGTGCCATTGGTTTTGGTGTACAGTATATGTACAATAAATGGACTTCATGTATAAATAAATGTTTGTGATTTACACAGGAGACTAGAATAGGTGATGCAAGTACAGACCATACATTTTTAGACTGTTTTTAAAAATGCTACTTTGGTCCCCACAAACGCTAAAGGGAATAAGCCTCATGAATGCTGACTGTTGTTGGCAATGTAACTCCCCTGATGTTATGTTAGCTCATATGTTTTGGGAGCACCTCTGTATCAAGAATTTCTGATGTAAGTTGGGTCAAAGGACCAATTTGATATTGGATGCTAAATTGGAGCCCTCCACCTCAAGTTTAATTCTTGGATATATTTCCAATATCTGGAGATTACCTGGTAACAAGGTAGCACGGTTCCAAAATGGAGCTTTAGTGGCTAAAAAATTAATCATGAAAAAGTGGATCCCCACCAAATATTGATGCCTGGCTCAATGATATGGCTGATCTCGCAGCTAATGAATGACACGCATTCCGCAGAAAGGGAATTCCAGAAAAATTCAAAGCAATTTGGGCTGAGTTTTTAGAGGTCTATGATTAACTTAGACCCTGAAGAAAGATATGTCACTTCCTTGCCCCTCCCTTAATACTAACCCTATTTATTTATTTTGCATACTATGATGAATCTGGTATGTTGGTATATTTGCTGTATTTGGAAATATTAATAAAAATTATAGTCAATGTAGTCTATCCACCTAACTGCTACTCGAATAATCTATAAAGCATAAGGTTACTTACTAAGTTTTGTTCTTACGTGCCCCTAAACACACACAGACTCTAAATCCGTTAGAAATAATATGGTTCACCCAATAAAGTGGCTACATGACCAAACTAATTATTTCTAAACATTTCACAGTTGTTTTCTTAGCACTATTCATGACTTAAAATACAAAATCAGTCACTCAGAATGAAGCAAACCTTAATGTACAAGGCCCAGAAAAGGTTCTAAGTAAGCCATACTAATGTTCCACTTGGGCACTTAATATGAAGCTTATATAGTGCACTGAGCTTTGTCCAGCCAGTACACACTGGGGTGAATTTTATCCCCAAGAGCCTTTTTCTCCCATCAACATATATGAAATTTGGATTTACCCATTTAAATCCACTGCATCAATAGGGGAACAGATCACTTGGAGTTAAATTCAGATACGGGTTATGGACCTGATCCAAAGTCCACTGAAGTCAATACAAAGACTCTTCTTATTGACTTCAATAGGCAATGGATCAGGCATAGGTGAATAAGATTTATACTGGTGCCGAAAAGTTCTGGTGGACTACTAAAAAGCCTTTTCTGCAAGAACCTGCTTGTTTCCAGTAGCTGATGCTATAGGCATCTCATGGTTATAACAGAAGGGCTCATGACATTTAAAAGCTGTCACTTTGCTCCTGGATGTCACTATGTGCAGTGCAGTACACGTGCTAACATCTTACCTAAACTGGACCTGGTATTCGACCGCTCAATTATTGCCCTCTTGCTCGGATTATTTAGGACAGACCTCTTAGCAAGAGAAATGTCGGCTGTCACTCTAGTTATTGATATCCTATGAATAAGAACACAGGAAAGAACAAAAACACTGCAGTCACATTTTTACTGTATTGTATGTGATTTAAAACTACTTTGTGTTGTAGAGTGTGAACATAGTGTAACACCAGTCAGATGTGTTTTATAGTTGAATTATATCATCATTAAAGTAAGAAAGAGAGGCAGAAATAAAGAAACTCTGCTTTCAAGTAAAACCCATGGTACTCAAGCACTAAAAAACCCCACGCAATTGTACAATTTTTGTCTATTTCACTTTTAACTGATAATATATATGTGTGCAAACATATAATTTCTAATACCACACTCACTACTACATATATTTCTCTCTCTCTTTCTCTATGTAGTCATCCATCTACCTATACAGAGACACTAACACAAACTTCTACTTGTGCTAATGAGGTGTGATTAGGGTTGCCAACTTTCTAATCCCACAAAACCGAACACCCTAGCCCCGCCCCTTCCCAAGGCCCCACCCCCGCTCACTACATTCCCCCTCCTTTGGAGGCTCGCTCTCCCCCACCCTCACTCACTTTCACTGGGCTGGGGCAGGGGGTGGGGTGGGGTTGGGTTGGGGGATGGGGAGGGCGGTGAGGGCTCTAACTGAGGATATGAGCTCCAGGGTGGGGCCAGAAATGAGGTGTTCAGGGTGTGAGAGGGGGCTCCGGGCTGGGGCAGGGAGTTGGGTGTGGGAGGTGGTGAGGGCTCCAGCTGAGGGTGCGGGCTATGGGGTGGGGCTGGGGATGAGGGGTTAAAGGTATGGGAGGGGGCTCCAGGCTGGGGGGTGGGGCCAAGGGATTCGGAATGTGGGAGGAGGCTGCAGGTTGAGCAGGGGGTTGGGGCATGGGAAGAGGTACAGGCTCTGGGCTGGGGGTGCTGGCTCTGGGGTGGAGCTGGGTATGAGGGGTTTGGGGTGCAGGAGGGGGCTCCATGCAGGGGGGTGGGGCTGAGTGATTCGGAGTGCGGGAGGGGGCCACGGGTTGAGGCAGGGGGTGGGGTGCAGGGGGGGGGTGAGGGCTCCAGCTGGGGGTGCAGGCTTTGGGGTGGGGCCTGGGATGAGGGGTTCAAGGTGTGGGAGGAGGCTCTGGGCTGGGGCAGAGGGCTGGGGTTTGGGGGGGTGAGGGCTCTGGCTGGGGGTGCAGGCTCTGGAGTGGGGCCAGGGATGAGGGGCTTGGGGTATAGGAGAGGGCTCTGGGTTTGGGGGGGCTCAGGGCTGAGGCGGGGGTTGGACCTCGAAGCTGGGGTGTGGGCTTAACTCAGGCGGTTCCCAGTCAGTGGCGCAGCGGGACTAAGGCAGTCTGTCTGCCTATCCTGGCACCGCGCTGCACCCCGGAAGCGGCCAGCAGGTGCGGGTCTTAGGCAGAGGGGCCAGGAGACTCCACACGCCGCTCTCACCTGCAGGCACCGACCCCCCAGCTCCCATTGGCCGGGAACCAGTTCCTGGACAATGGGAGTGCAGAACCAGTGCTCGGGGCAGGAGCAGCACGCATAGCCCCGTGGCCCCGCCACCTAGGAGCCGGACCTGCTGGCCGCTTCCAGGGCACAGTGCGGTGACAGGACAGGTAGGGACTAGCCTGCCTGAGCCCCGCAGCACCACTGACCACACTTTAAACAGCCCGGTCAGTGGTGCTAACCGGAGCCGTCAGGGTCCCTTTTTGACTGGGTGTTCCGGTCAAAAACCGGACACCTGGTCACCCTAAGTGCAATATCAGAAATAATTTCACAAGCTAAAGCGGATCTCAGGGCAAGTACAACAGCAGAGCCATAATAAATAATAAAATAATAATAATACTTCATCTTCAAAGCATTTTATAAACATTAATTAATCTTCATATATTCCTCTGAGGTAAGTAAAGAATGTAATCCCCAATTTACAGTTTGTGGAATGGCGACAGAGAGATTCTATCTATCTAGGCGCCTCAGTCATTAATGGATTTATTCTCACAACCCTTCATGAGGTAGGTAGTTGTTGCCACTTTACAGACAAGGAACTGAGGCACAGGGTTAGGTTACTTGCCCAAGGTCACAAAGGAGAGTCTATGACTGGTTATTAAAATGAGGTCTTCAGGATCCCAGTCCAGCGAGCTATCCCCTACAACATGCATCCTGCATTCCTAGAGCAGGCTAGTTAAGTCACTTGCCCAAGGCTGCAAAGAAAGTCCATATCAGAGGCAAAATTAGAGCACAGGCTTGTAAGCTGGGAAATTCTAACCACCTCTCTCTCTCTGTCACACTCATGCACACACGCACCAAGCTGGACTATGCGAAGTAGGTCACCACAAAGAATACTCCTCACACTACAGGCTAGACGGTAGCATTCAATCACAGCCTGGAGCTGGGAATAGCATGGAGGGATCATTTTGCAGGGAGGGAAGGTAGAGTGGTGTGGAGATGTCTTGCAGGAGGAACTGTACCTCAGGGAGCATAGTTCTTCTCAGAGCTGCGAGTAGCACATGTCACATGCACACTGTGGCTGCCCAGCTCTGTAAACTGTGTAGAATGTGAGAATATGGTGAAGCCCCTTCCCTGACACATGAATGCAGGGACCACATTCCCAATTGTTCCTAATCCTTGAGGGGTGATAAAGGGGGAGTGTGATGAGGTTTAACCCCCACCATTGGCAAGGAAAGGGAAAGAACACGAATTAGTCATACTCTGCACCTGGAGGAGGTGCCCCCTGGCCAGAGAAGGCAAAGCTAGGCCTTATAAGTAGACTGAGGGAGCTCCGTTGGAGAGAGACTGCAGAGGAGACAGGTCTCTCTGGTGGAGGGAAGCCCGGGGATAAGGTTTAAACAGACAAGTAACAACTGAGGAAGAACACTACTGGAGCAGGTTAGGCTTCTGCAGGGGGAGGCCCTGAGACAGAGCCAACAAGGGGACTACACTGAAGCCTGAGAGGGTCAGAAGGGCTATTATTCTAAAGATTTGTTTGGCCTTTTATTTGGACTTGTTTGTGCTAACCTGGGATGTTAAAATGCTATAAAATGTTAAAAAATGCAGGAAATCAAAAGAAAACATTTTTGTTTAGGATTGAATGAAACGCTTTGTTCAACTAGAAATAATTTTTTTAAAACTTAAATTCACCAAAAAAATTCAAAATTTAATTCAAAACCATTTTTTAAATATTATTTTTCTGAATTTCCAGTGAACCAAAACAAAATCTGTTATTCACATAGCTCTAGAGTAGAGCTGTACACAAAACCGATTAACTAAATTGGTAGAAACCTCCTGTGTGGACACTCCTATTTTGGTTTCAGAATGCCTTATATCAACGGAGCTTAAATCAATTCTCACAGTCTTAGCAGTTTCACTGTTTCATCTGTTCATTTAGGTGAGATTTTCACAAAGCACTTAAGGGATTTAAGAGAATAAATCCCACTGAAAGTTTTAGGAAAATCTCCTTCTTCCATGTCCATTCCCCCTTGTTGTGGGTGTAGATTTGTCACACAGTTAACAGTGGAGAGAAAAATGTTTTAAAAATTAGGAAAATGTGATTGCAAATCCATAAAAACTGCTGGGGGACTGAAAGGCAATTGTAGCACCTGAAATACCATTTAACTTATTTTTCAAAAAAGGTTTAGATTTCAAGTGGATTGTGTTCCTTTAAGATTTTAGGCTGTTAGCTCCTCACTTTACCTATCTGTGGATGAAATTCATACCTCTGTCTGATCCGCCCTGCTAAGAGCTAACAACAATGGGACAATTTGTAAAACTGACAGTGACAAAGATTGCAGATGGACCCTCTCTATTTCTCTCTCTTTGCGTGGATTAAACACACATCAGGGAAAGGCTATACGACAGTACCTCTGACTAGATTTGACAACCAAACGGGGGTTTATAAGGATCCCTTACTTTTTTACTTCTCCTGTGTAAACAGACATTACTGATTTTTGTGGCTTCTGATACACCTCAGTACTTCTCCCTTATAGTACAGAAATATACTTCACAACTTGACAGGACTTGTCACTTCCAGTTGCCATGGTTTCCTATTGAAGATAATGACTTCCAGCTACCATAGGCATATGCAAAGCTGAAGGACACGTGCCAACAACTGGGAAGAGAATAGATGTCACTGCTCTGTACCTACTCTTAATACAAATGTGCCCTGGGAATCCATGCAATAAACTGAAGTGAAATAAGATTAGTTAAACAGTTCAGGAGTGGGGGGGGGGAGGGGAGGTGGAAGAGGGTATGGACGAGAATCATGAAGAGCTCAGAGAAATGACTCATTAAACTGCAGGCTGCTGTGTAAAATGCTCAATCCACCAGGTTTTAAAATTAAATACTAAGTTTGTGGGTTTTGCTAATGTCATCTGTGTTAGGCAAATTAAAAACTGGGGAAGGGCTACAAGTCTTACACCATAGCCTGCAGCTAAAGCTGTCATTCCTCAGAGCTGTTCACGCGTTAAGGAGGAGTTGTAGTCACTTCTTTAACTCCCATGAATACCTACCCTATCCCCACTCCACAACCTAACTGGATAATCTTATTTTACAGGGCTTCTAATTTAACCCTGCATATTAAATGCATGTACACTGTGGGAAAAGGGGCACAGGAAGCAACCTCCTCCTTGAAGATCATCCATGTGTAATGGCTGGGGCTTAGGCGACCAGGCTGGGCCAGAGTTGAAGGCAGGAGTGGAGACTAGCTACCAAGCCGAGTCAGGAGACGGGTACCAAGGTCAAGCCAGGCCTGGGTCAAAGGCAGAAGTAAGGAGCAAGATGAGACGAAAGACAAGGTAGCAAGCTAGAATCTATGTTGTTGCTCAGACGGCTCCTTAGGGTAACTCCTGGTTTAAACTGTTGGTGTGGACCAAAGTTCTGTTGCTCTGGCCTCTTTGGGTAGTACTTGCTGCGGTGCCTAACTCTCCAGTAATTGTTGGGTGCTGCTTCATCTGGCTCCCCAGTGGTGACATAGAGGCAGTGGTCACCCAGGACCTCACAACCCCAAATTCTAGACCCATGGATCCTTATGGCATGAAACCACAGGGCAGGATATGACCC